GGAAACTCAGCTCTGATCTGGGTGCTGGGAGCAGACTCAGTCTTGCTGACAAAGAACGCTGAGGGGTACTGGCTAAGCCATAGAGTGAATGAAACCTGTTGGTCTTCTCCGCCAGTGTGGCTCAGTAGTTGAGCATCGACCCATGAACCAAGAGGTCACCTGTTTGATTCCCAGTCAGGATTCCGTGTCTGGGTTGTGGGCTCCATCCCTAATGGGCATGCAGGAGGCAGCCGATTGATGTTTCTTAGCAATGTTTCTATCTTTCTGTCTCTCTCCCTTCTTCTCTCTCTAAACAGTGCAGGGGCAAAACAAAAGATACAAGTTCAGTGAAAGAGGTTGCCTCAAAAGCTCTTTTTAATGGGAAAATTTACTGTACGGCGATGGCTGCCATAATAACCAGGGGGAGGCTGTAGTCTGTGGACTGACATACTTGAATGGGAGGCAGAAATAAAATGAGATAACTTGGGGGAAAGCAAGGTAGAATGTCATAGAAGTCCGTCCACAGGAAGCACGAGTTCAAGGAATCAACACACGTTTGCGAAGTTCAGTGGAATGTAAGTCACAGAGACAAGAAACACTTTGCCATAGAAATACCAAGCTCACAGCTTCATTTCGCTAATTGAGCATGTGAGTTGAGGCAGGGCATTTGACTTGGATGCCTTTTTCTCCAGTGAATTGGGGATAAAATATCTTTCCAGAAAAATTGAGTTTCAATCAGATATTAATGTTTTGGAGGGAATTTCAAAGCCCTGCCTATGTAAAATGCAATTGAAGGAAGACTGTTGAAAAGATTTGGGGTTGATATCGTGGGGAGGGAGAGTCAAGGCGAAGCTTAGTTGAGAGGCTCAAGTGTTAGAGAGTGCTTTTTCAAAATGCTCCCAAACTCCTACTATGATGTCCTGGCAAGAGTTGCTTCTGCTGGCTATGTCGTGTGGCATAACGCTCCCTCAGCCCCCACCATTCAAGGGCCTTGCCTTTACCTTGCGGTATAAGAATCTAGAATATCGGGGATGGGGGCAGGTGGGGAGAGGTCAATGGGGGAAAAGGAGACATGTAATATTTTCCACAATAAAGAATTTTTAAAAATCTAGAATATCATGCATTTTTCATGTCACTGTGTATTAGCATTCAAAAGAGAGCAAGGCATCACTCTTCAAATCTAGATTTATTCGTTGTTTTGTCCAGAGCCTTGCTGGGGCCAGGCCTGGGCCAGCTCTGTAATAAGGGACTATGATGGAAGAAAGCAAGCCAGAGCCCAGAGGGCCAGAGGTCAGGTCAGGTCAAAGGCTGAGCGGGATGCGGGTGGCCTTCATATCTCCCAGTGCAACCCTGTCAGGGCCTTGGCCAGCATCTGTGGAATAGAGGGATGGGCACAGCCTGCCCTGTCTTTTTGAGAATTGGTCCAATTCAGAAAGCAGAAACTTAGAAGCCACAGCATCCAACACTGTAAAGCCAGGGATTGTTTGCATGATCTTGGAAAAGTGGTGACCTTTCTGCATTCTGTTCTCTCATCTGTTAAGGGAGGATGTTAAGACTATTGCAGCTCAGGATGTGACATGAGGCTGATGCAATGTCCTTCTCTATGCATATGGGAGAGTGAGTTAACCCACAGTTACGCCAGATTGGGAGTGGAGCGAGGCAGTGCCTAACTGCATTGCGCTGTGCTTATTACATTATCCTATGTGGGAAGCTGCAAGCACAGAGGCCTTCTGCGGGCACATGGTTTGGATGAATTATTAAGGAAACATGTTTCTTTCTTTCAGACCAATGATGCCTTAGGAGCCACCTGGAATTGGCTGTACTTCATCCCCCTCATCATCATTGGATCCTTCTTTGTTCTCAACCTAGTCCTGGGAGTGCTTTCCGGGTAAGCCACATTTCCTTTTAACCTCTTTCTAACTGTAAACCGATGTTCCTGACTCAGGGCAGACTCATTCATTGAAGCTTCATTTAGAAGACATTGACCGAGCAGCCCCTATGTGCTGAGTGGTGTTCCCCATGTTGGGAATGCAGTAGTGAATTATCTTTCTAGTCATCTTTATTATTCTTAGGAAGTAAGAAAATCCTTAGATCAGGTACAACATTGAAGACAGTACCTACTGAGAGTTCACTTATCCATCCATCCTTTCATTTAGTCACTCAGCAGTCTGTGTCAAACTCTTGCTGGTTGTTAGGGATATAAAGTTGAATAAGATACAGGCTCTACCCTCAAAAGATTCTTTATCATGTATTGGACATCAGAGCATATGCGATGCTTGGATTAGTGCACATCACTCATCCAGAACTCAGTGTCCACGGCCGTGGGAAGCATTGTAAGGAGCACGTGAAGTATGGGGCCTGGTTCCTACCTTTAAGGACCTATGTTTTGGGGAGAGGGCAACACAAATACATGAAATATTAGGGAGTGGGAGTTCTTTTACCGACTAGTATAAGATGCAGGTCATTTGTTTGGGGGAAGGGACAAACCTGTATCGTCTGATGTTATCAGAGACAGTTTTGTGAAGTGTCAGGATTTTGTTTGGAATGTAAAATGCGTTACCAAGCAAGGGCTTGCTGCCTGATGTGCATAGAAGCCAATGCTATGACACCAGCTTTTGAGAAAAGTAAAAGGTATTATTACAAGATTGACTGGAAAGGAAACAGGAGACAAGGCTCAAATCTGTCTCCCCAGTTGGAGGTTTGGAGCAAGATTTAAGGAATTTCAGCACCAGATATTCCTGGACAGCGGGCCCTTCTCTTCTGCAAGTGTTCTGGTGATCGGGTTCGGTCAGGTTCTGGTCCTTTGATTGCTTGGTGGGAAGCAGTTAAGGCCTTACAAGTGTTTCTCTAAGTGGTATATCCAAGGTTTAAACTTTGGTTCTGGGTCTTGCTAGTAACAAAACGGGACCTGTTTGGGTTGATTCTGTGCTTGCATATGTAATAAGATAAGATAGAAAATATGGGCACAAAAATACCAGGAATGGGCGCACCATACCATAATGGAAGATGAAGAAAGGGGACTTGTCATGGAAAGTGAAGAGACTGTAATGCAACCAAACTTAGAGTGGAAATCTCACTTGGGGAAATGAAAGGTATAAGATAGGAAAGAAAACACCACAGTAGATTTTAGAGGGTCTTACACTTTTCTGAATAAATTGAACTTTCTTGTCTGAGTGGCATAAGTTTATCAAGAGAAAACATTTAAGGTGATGGGTCTGTTTAAACATGGCAGATTGAACCACTTGGTCATCTCTTGTTACTACTAACACAGGAAGTAAAATTTAAGACAGGCACAGTGACAAAAAGAACAGGAGAAGAAATGACAACAGATGAGAGATGTCAATAATTTCTGAAGATAGAAAGTAAAGGGCAACTGACCCCGTGGTGGGGAAGCTAAGGTTTAAATTTCTTGCATGAGGAATGCCAATTAATAAAGCAAAATGATTGCTTTGTAACCGTACAGGGCCCTAGAGAGGCCCGGGAATGAGAGGCACTAGGTATGTCTGAGAGCTGGAGTCTGGGTGGTGCTAAAAATAAGAGGTCTGGTCAAAGGTCCTTGTAAGGAACACTTGGCAGTCCTCTCCCCAGCATCCTAGATCTTTCCCCGCTGAGGGGGATTTGCCACACCCAGCCTTCGCCCCAGACAAAGAAGTCTTACTCCCCATAGAGATTGAACGGAAGAAGCTGGCAATGGTCACGTCTAGTGCATCTGAGAGCGGAGATGATATGTTGCGGTTAGAGCAGGAGGGTTTAAATGATAGTCCACAAATTGAGTTTCAGTCCTCCAGCCCACCTGACTGTGTGACTCTTAGAACTAGAGCCATCTGGCAGGAGCTCAGAGCATCGGTGGGGAGTTCATTTTCTTTGTGGGAAACTATTAAGCTTGAAGAAAGACCTATGTATACAGATAATTGAGGGTGACCAGAGAAATGTTTCCCACCTATCACCTCAGCAAGGCCCACGATATGGCTGCCAAAACAAATGACCACAAACTAGGTGGCTTAAACTGTGAGAGAAATTAATTCTTCAACATTCTGGAGGCTAGAGGTCCAAACTCAAGCAGGGTCATACTTCCTCTGAAGGCTCTAAGGCAGCAGTTCTCAACCTGTGGGTCACGAAACCTTTGGGGATCAAACAACCCTTTCACAGAGGTCACCTAAGACCATCGGAAAACACATATATAATTACATATTGTTTTTGTGATTAATCACTATGCTTTAATTATGTTCAATGTGTAACAATGAAAATACATCCTGCATATCAGATATTTACATTATGATTCATAACAGTAGCAAAATTACAGTTATGAAGTAGCAACGAAAATAATTTTATGGTTGGAGGTCACCACAACGTGAGGAACTGTATTAAAGGGTCGCGGCATTAGGAAGGTTGAGAACCACTGCTCTAAGGGAGCATTTATTTCCTTCCTCTTCCATCCTCTGGCATGGGACTTCTCTATTGGTTCGCGACCTCTTTGGCGGTTGAACGACCCTTTCACAGGGGTCGCCTAAGACCATCCTGCATATCAGATATTTACATTACGATTCATAACAGTAGCAACATTACAGTTATGAAGTAGCAACGAAAACAATTTTATGGTTGGGTCACCACATGAGGAACTGTATTTAAAGGGCCAGAAGGTTGAGAACCACTGCTCTGGCAGCTGCAGGCATTCCTTGGCTTGTGGCTGTGTCACTGGCCAGAGGCTTCTCTCCATACCCACCTGCCATCTTCCTGCCATACAAACTGCCCTCACAATATATTTAATGTCTACTTTCTATTGAATACATTTTTATGAACTGTCTTGTGTATTTCTCTTTGCATAAATGATACCTCACCCTGTTTCCTTCTTGTTTTCACTGAACCCTATGCTTTTAAGATCCTCTGTGTTGCCATGAGGGTCTGTGCCTTCTCTTTGTCTACCTCTCTTTTATGAGGACGCTTGTCATTGGATTGAAGGTTATCTGGTCATCAGGATGACCTGTTCATCTCAAGATTCTTGCCTTAATTAAATCTGCATAGGCCCCCTTTCCAAGTAAGGTAACAGTTTCAGGTTCCAGGAATTAGGATATAGACACAGCTTTTGTTTGTGTTTGGTGGGGGTGAGGGTGCTATGCTCACCTTTCTACAAGCCCCAACAATGCATGCAGAGTTTCCAAAAAGCCTTTTGTGCCTTGCTCGTGAATATAAACACACAGTGAGAGTTCATTATCATTCGAAGAAAATGTCTCACACCAAGGACAACAACAAAATAATAGAAAAAAAGAAACGAGGGAATATGAACAATACAGGGGGCGGAAGATAACTTTTAAAAAATATAATTGATACCAGCAGAAATAGATGAGAAAGAATTTTATCCACAAAGTAACACATTGCTATAAAGAGAAAACATTTAGCAGTGAAGAAGAGTTGAGTATTAATGTAAAATTTACACTAATGTAAAATGAATTGGTGTAAAAATGTGTAATAAGACAGTAAATATTGGAATATAAAGGTTGGAATATAAAAGTGATGAAATCATATAGAAATTGAATGAACATAAGAAAGCCAGGATAGGTCAGACATTAAACTAATAAGGGTTGCATAAAATGCAAAAGAAGAAATTAACAAAGAAAAATACCAAAAAACATTCCCAGCAGCAGTAAACTCACATGACCAGATCAAAAGAGTGGTTGAGACATGAGCATGGATACTCTTTCCAGTGTTGTTTTTTTAGTGGATGGGAGTTGGGGAAGCCTGAGGATTAATGATGGGAGAGTAGGTAGGAAAACGGTTGGATGTGTTCCATGATGTACTATGCAGCGCTTAGGAGCAACAAATGCCACAGAGGTACAGGGTATCTTAAAAACACAGTTTAGTGAAGATAAGAAGGAAACAGTGTGATACGGCATTTATATAAATAGAAATATACACACAATGCAGTTTGGAAAAATGTATTCAAATAAAAGGTATTCAAATTAAATATATTGTGATGGTAGTTTGTATGGCAGGAAGATGGGAGGTGGGTATGGAGATAAAAGGGAACAAATGTGTAATGAAAATGTCCGCTGAGTACACAGCACAACTAATAAAAAGAGACCACACCAAGGAATGATCATGGAATTTCAGAGCATCTGGTTCAAGAGAATATTCTAATCTAAAAGCTTCTAGTGATTCAGAAGGGGATGGATTTTGCCTACAAATAAGTAGGAATTGGGATGGCTTTGGACGTCTAAATGACATTGAAAATTAGAAACCAATAGAGAAGTCCCTAAAGCTTTCATGAAGGAAAAAAAATTTCCAGGACAGAAGTCTATACCCACCAAAACAGCAATTATTTGCGAGGATAATAGCAATATTTCCAGACGTTCTTTCTGAAGTTCCTGGAGAATGTGAGTCGCTAAAATGAGGAAGCAGTTGAAGAGAGAGAAGGACATGATACTCACGGAAACAAGGGATTTAACAGAGAAGAGAGGCAAAGGGGATCCCAAGCATGATGGCGAAGGGCAGTCTAGGGTGAAGGCAGTCAGAGTCCTAGAGAGAAGCAGGTCCAGGTTTGCGTAGGAGGACAGAGGGCTCTAAGAATGATTTCTCTAACAAAAAAAAACAAAAAAAACTAATATATCCCCTGATGAGTATTGTATTCAAAAGAGTTTAATGGTTTTTATCAACACTGTACACTTATGAATATATAACTGTATGTATTCGTATACACATGCACTCCCTGATCTAAGCAATTGGGTTCACAAAATACAAGTATTACCACTAAAGGAACAGAAGCTTAGTAAGTCCTCGAGGCAGATCTGAGGTCAACCACACTTACATTGTCAAACTGGATTTTGAGATTACCCCTATGGTGCTATCATGGCCCTGAGAGGAGCATGGGGGGTGGACAAGTGGGGGGAGGGG